CGTGGATCGAGTCATGGCTCACAGACATTAGGCAGTGTGCATAAATGGGGTTAAATCCGAGTGGGGATCTGTATTATTAGAATCAAGGGGGGAGCGCTAAATCCGTAGGATTATACAGCGCCTGTGGGGGGATGGAAGGTATTCAGGGTTAATTCAGGAAACTGGAGCACAGATCCAGTTCCCTAGATCAAGATCCCCTCACCAGTATCAAGGAACCTTCCTTGAGGGGTGGGGATCTGTAACAAGTGGCGTTCCACAGGGATCAGTCTTAGGCCCGTTGTTGTTTATAATATATATCAATGATCTTGATGAGGGAATTACTAGTGAAATGAGCAAATTCGCTGATGACACAAAGTTAGGTAGGATAACTGATTCAAAAGTAGATATCAGGGAACTTAAGGAGGATTTAGACAAACTCAGTACCTGGTCAGAAAAGTGGCAGATGCAGTTCAATGTAGATAAATGCAAGGCTCTGAAGCTCGGGAGTGTCCATGTAGATTATTATTATTATTATAACCAAAGGGGAAGCGCTAAACCCGTAGGATTATACAGCGCCTAAATAATGTAGAACTTAGCCAGACAGAATGCGAAAAGAACTTGGGAGTTATGGTGAGCAGTAACCTTAAACCAAGACAGCAATGCCTAAGTTTACGTAATAAGGCGAACAGATTACTGGGACTCATATCAAGAAGTGTAAGCAACAGAAGTTCAGCGGTTATATTCCAGCTTCATACATCATTAGCAAGGCCTCACCTAGATTATGCAGCTCAGTTCTGGTCTCCATATTACAGAATGGACATAAATTCGTTAGGAAACATTCAGCGTAGAATGACTAACACATAGCATTAGAAATCTTCCGTATTAAGAAATATTGAAGACAATTAAATTACATTCACTTGTTAGACGAAGAATGAGGGGAGACATGATCGAAGTATATACCTGGAGACCTGGAGTTTACCTGGAGAGAGTTCCGGGGGTCAACGCCCCCGCGGCCCGGTCTGTGACCAGGCCTCATATAAGTGGAAGATGGGTATTAATAAAGGGGATATTAATAAGGTCTTGAGGATATCTCTCCAAGAGAGAACCCGCAATAATGGATTCAAATTAGGCAAGTTTAAATTTAGAAATTATTATTATTAGTATAATCAAGGGGGAAGCGCTAAACCCGGAGGATTATACAGCACCTGGGGGGATTATTATAATCAAGGGGAAGCGCTAAACCCGTAGGATTATACAGCGCCTGGGGGGGATGTGAAAGGCATTCAGGCTTAATTTGGGGAACTGGAGCACAGATCCAATTCCCTAAATCAAGAGCCCCTCACCAACATCAAGGAACCTTCCTTGAGGGGTTAAATTTAGAAAGGATATAGGAAAGTGTAGGTTTGGAAATAGGGTAGCTGATGAGTGGAACAGTCTGCCTAGTAGGGTTATTAAGGCTAAAACCTTCGGTACTTTCAAATTTAGGTTCGATAAATACATGAATGAGAGGGGTTGGATTTGAGTGGGACTCGTACGCGAGTCAATAGAATTATCAAAGTTTATTGCTTGGGTGGAATTGAAAATTGGGTTGGGCAAATATTTTGTCAGGGATGGATTGTGAAGGACCTGCCTAGTATGGGCCAACAGGCCTGCTGCAGTGTTCCTCCTTTCTTATGTTCTTATGTAATAAAATTAAACTTAAAATTCCTTAGGAAATAAAACAGTTTCAACTCAGTTTTTATTTTAAGTGTTTGGGTTGAACTCCAGCTCCTGTGCATCTCAAGGGTGTGTCTTCTACAACTGTGCATCTTGAGGGTGTTGGTCTGCAGCTCCTGTACGTCTTGAAAGTTTTGACGCAGACCCACTAGGCTCCTGGTACCTCTTGCATGCAGTGATTTACTGGGGTTATGGATTATGGGGACTCCACAAGTGTTTTTGTGTACGTACGTATTTATACATGGTTGCAGGGGTAGCGTGTACTCACCTATTTGTGGTTGCAGGGGTCGATTCAAAACTCCTGGCCCCGCCTCTTCACTGATTGCTACTAGGTCCTCTCTCTCCCTGCTCCATGAGCTTTATCAAACCTCATCTTAAAACTATGTATGGTTCCTGCCTCCACAACCTCACTGTCTGGAGTTTTTACCTGGAGTTTACCTGGAGAGAGTTCCGGAGGTCAACGCCCCCGCGGCCCGGTCTGTGACCAGTGTGGAAATACTGTATATATTTTCCAGAAATTCGGTCTTTATATGTAAATAGATGGCCATACTGTATTTAATAATATTTATGTCATAGAAAACGGAAAACCTGCGTCTGCGCAGACGAGACTCGCCATCTTGGTTTTAAATTGGATACAACGTTAGTGTAATGGGAAGGAATTTTCGTGCTCTAGAGGTTAAAATTGGGCTGACACCTCTCAAATAGGAGGCGAAATTGTTAGACATGCATTCCTACATAACTTGAGATATCAGACGACTGGATAAGACAGCTCCAGGAACCTCAGATAAACTCTCTAGATTTGTGTATAATTCTGGCCAGTGTTTTCATAAATTTAGTTAGTGAGGTTTTTCTGAGTATGATACAACTTAATATCCAGTCAAATTGGTGAGTGATATTAAGATATATTTTCCTTCTGTTATGTAATTGTGTATATATATAACCATTTATTATTTTTAATATACAGTCCACAAATTTATATATTTACCAGTATTCCTGGTGTATGTATATTTCATTTAATTAATAGGTCCAGAGCAACTTGTGGTTATGACAGTGGTAGGTATCGAAGGGGGACATTTTTGCAACCTAGGTGTCCCAAATTCCTACTTGTCTATGTAACATTGATAAATAATAATTATCTTTGTTATCATTTACTGTTATGTACATAGTTACATTCAGATAAATGCAATTTTCCACAACCAGGCCTCATTGTGAAAATTTGTGTGGACTGCCTCCAAGTGAGTCGCCTACCCTGGCAAACTCTGTTGACACCGAGCTCTGAGGTCGGTACCTCAGCCTCACAAGTGGCTTATAGGACAGATTTTCACAAATGATTGATGTTGCAAGAAACTCGCCTGCATGCACGTATAAAGGACTAACTTACTTGGTGTTGCAGCATATATCCTGATCTTCAACTTCCCTAAGCTTAGCCTTAGCCCCTTTGGACTTCCCCTCAGAAACCACGTGCAACCGGGAGCCTTAATTCCTGCAATATTCAATTGTTATTAGTGACCTGCCTGCACCTCAGAAATTCCTATATCCAAGAGGGTGTGCATCCCCTAGTATAACTATGCAGACATGGACACTAGCTTCCAGACTGACAAGGGATGCTGGTACTTACTGGGCATGCACTGCCTGCTGCACAAAGGGTCTACAGATCAACTCACTCACAATTTTCCCCAGACACTGGCCAGAAATCTACGAGATAAAGTGGAGGTCTTGTCTTACTGTATGGGCCTGACGGAGGTCATCTACGGTACATCGAGGTGCCTCTACCAGATTTCCCCGGGTCTTGAATGTGAAGACACGTGGGGGCGCCGTCTGCTGATCACGGCACATCTTGTCCAGACCCACGCCTCATCCTTCAAGCTAGGGCTGCCGGTTCTCCCTAGCTAACTTAACCTAGTGTTTGCCTACATTATCGGCCTATTACTACCTATTACCTGGAGTTTACCTGGAGAGAGTTCTGGGGGTCAACGCCCCCGCGGCCCGGTCTGTGACCAGGCCTCCTGGTGGATCAGAGCCTGATCAACCAGGCTGTTACTGCTGGCTGCACACAAACCAACATATGAGCCACAGCCCGGCTGATCAGGAACCGACTTTAGGTGCTTGTCCAGTGCCAGCTTGAAGACTGCCAGGGGTCTGTTGGTAATCCCCCTTATGTATGCTGGGAGGCAGTTGAACAGTCTCGGGCCCCTGACATTTATTGTATGGTCTCTTAACGTGCTAGTGACACCCCTGCTTTTCATTGGGGGGATGTTGCATCGTCTGCCAAGTCTTTTGTTTTCGTAGTGAGTGATTTTCGTGTGCAAGCTATGTTAAGGTCTTAGGTCTACATTATTGTCTACAGTTGCCTTAGTAAACCTAATATTAGTGTACTACCAGTAAAACTACCTACTCCTTCCCTGAAGGGTAAATCTATAACTTAATTAGTGCTTACCAACCATGCCAACTTGGGGAGAACACTTTTTGTTTGAGTGGGTTTAAGGGCCACCCAGCTCAGCCGTTCCATTACGGCCATTCTGGGACCCCCTTTGTACGCCATATCTGTCCTGTGGAACTTTAGAGACCAAATAAATTTCCACACTCCTGGTGGATCAGAGCCTGATCAACCAGGCTGTTACTGCTGGCTGCACGCAAACCAACGTATGAGCCACAGCCCGGCTGGTCAGGTACCGACTTTAGGTGCTTGTCCAGTGCTAGCTTGAAGACTGCCAGGGGTCTATTGGTAATCCCCCTTATGTATGCTGGGAGGCAGTTGAACAGTCTTGGGCCCCTGACACTTATTGTATGGTCTAGGCTATTCCACTTCCTGACAACTCTATGGCTGAAGAAATACTGCCTAACGTCCCTTTGATTCATTGGAGTCTTCAACTTCCAATTGTAACCCCTGGTTTTTGTGTCCCATCTCTGGAACATCCTGCCGTTGTCCACCTTGTCAATTCCTCGCAGTATTTTTATATGTCGTTATCACGTCTCCCCTGACCCTCTTGTCCTCCAGTGTGTATGTGTGTGTGTACTCGCCTTATTGTACTCACCTAATTGTGGTTGCAGGGGTCGAAACTCAGCTCCTGGCCCCGCCTCTTCACTAAACGCTACTAGGTCCTCTCTCTTCATGACTGCATTTGGTGGGGTTAAATTCGAGAAGCCAGTTGCTGGACCAGGTGTCCAGCCTGTCCAGGTCTCTTTGAAGTCCTGCCTGATCCTCATCTGATTTAATTCTCCTCATTAACTTCACATCATTGTGTGTGTGTGTGTGTGAACTGTACAGACGTGTGTTCACATCCACATGTGTGACGCGTGGAGGATGTAAGCATATGGGTTCAAAGTTTGTGAAGTATGGCTGGGAAAAAAGGCACCTGTGTAACCCCTGGGAAATCGTTTAACACCTTGAAGGGAGAGATATGTTATTTTGGTTCACATGACCACTACTACAGAGCAACTGTGACGAAGTACCACAACACCTATACACCTCTCAAGTGTTCACTCTCCCACCATGGGAGCTATATAAAAGCTGCAGCAGTCTCCCTGTCAATTACTCGTCTAGTAGTGGTGATAGCAGTAATGCATCCTTCCTTCCTTTTACTTGCTGCCCTTCTGGGTGTTGCCTCTCCTACTTTTGTTCAAGACTGTGGTAAGCTAAACATTGAATGAATATAATTGTCCACATACTTCATTTTGAAGGGCAATATGTTTAGAAGTTAGCTAGCTTAATATTAATCTGCAAGAGCATGGTGTCGCTTCATAATATGGGCACACATGCAGCCAGGTGTTAAGTTATATATACAAACAAGAAATCAACCAGTTTAAACAACAGTACAAACCATGTGCTCATCCCGTCTAGCATAACTGAATATAGTAATGTATGTATGTGTGTGTGCCACTTCTCGAAACATTTCTGAATCTTCATTTCCTAACGGCGATTCTGACTGAATTTCCTCATTAAAATGCCGCCCCTTGAGTGCCATTTTCGTTTTGGGGAAGATATAGAAGTTACTGGGGACTAGATCTGGGAAATAGGAAAGATGGGGACAACCACTATGTTGTTTTTGGCCAGAAAACGTTGGCTTTGAGTAGGCAAGTGGGGCATAAATTTCGCAGCCACTCGGCTCATGTTCAAATTTTCAGTCGAATTCTTTGACATCCTCAACTGATGTTTATCCTGCTTTGCATTGAGAAAATCATTCAGAACAATGTCCATCCCATTACTTCGTCACCAAATGCTTACTAAGACAGTTTGTGAGTTTCACTAGCCATTTTACAGAATTTGAATCAGTTACACACACACACACTGGAGGACAGGATTATTATTATTATTATAATCAAGGGGGAAGCGCTGAAACCCGGAGGATTATACAGCGCCTGGGGGGGGGGATGTGGAAGGCATTCAGGCTTAATTCGGGGAACTGGAGCACAGATCCAATTCCCTAAATCAAGAGCCCCTCACCAACATCAAGGAACCTTCCTTGAGGGGTGGAGGACAGGAGAGTTAGGGGAGACATGATAACGACATATAAAATACTGCGAGGAATTGACAAGGTGGACAGAAACAGGATGTTGCAGAGATGGGACACAAAAACAAGGGGTCACAATTGGAAGGTGAAGACTCAAATGAGTCAGAGGAATGTTAGGAAGTATTTCTTCAGTCATAGAGTTGTCAGGAAGTGGAACAGTCTGGAAAGCGACGTAGTGGAGGCAGGAACCATACATGGTTTTAAGACGAGGTTTGATAAAGTACATGGACCAAGGAGAGAGGACCTAGTATTATTATTATTATTATAATCAAAGGGGAAGCGCTAAACCCGTAGGATTATACAGTCGGGGGGCGAGATGTGGAAGGCATTCAGGCTTAATCGGGAAAGGAGCACAAGTTCACATCACACAAAATCAAGAGCCCTCACCAACATCAATGGAAACCTCCCATGAGTAGGAGGACCTAGTAGTATCAAGTAAGAGGGGGCAGGAGCTATACCGACCCGGATATACCACCATGAGGGTGAGTACGAGATTGCGCCTATTCTCTTACACAAAAAATCACAACAACTGCCACCACAAATAATGACCATCTAACCTAACAATGCCAATGGAACTCTCCTACACTACTTCATAATATTATTATTATAATCAAAGGGAAGCGCTAACCCGGAGGATATACAGCGCCTGGGGGATCGTGTAGGCATTCAGCTTAAAGGAACTGGAGCTACGATCTAATTCCTAATCAAGAGCCCCTCCCACATCAAGGAACTTCCATTAGAGGGAAAACTTCATATAATTATTATAATAAAAGAGCGCTACCACATAGACTATATGACATATTCATAAAAGGTACTTGCAGACATCTTGCGCTGCCATATTATTCCATCTTAAGCATGGAACATTCGAGTCGAACTTTGAACACTCTAATATTTGACAATTTCTTGTTACTTTATATTCCTCCTTGATGCTCCATCTCCACGAAAGAATGTTTTTTATTCTTCCCACTTCACTTCTTCCTCAACTTGCCACTGTGGCCTTGAGTTATTCCTCTTGCAGGTACTAAGAAATCTTCTTTATCCTTTCAAGACTCTATATGTGGTTATCATTTCTTCTCTTTTCCTGATATCAACCAATATGGGCATCTAATATTTTCAACTAGTCATCATAGTTCATATTGCTCAAGTTTGGCAGCCATTTCCTAACTTATGTTTTTTCTTCCAGGTGTGAGCACCACACAACTGCTGTTTAGTCCAGTTTTGACCTAATATGTTGTAACAACTTTATAAACATTTCACTATCCATATATTTGAAAGCTATTTTGTAGTTTGTTAGTGTACCATTAGTTTCACACAATTCCATTTATATGATCTCACAATGATAATTTTTTGTTGATAACTCATAGACCCCTTTTCCTGTCTGATACTTAAAATATTTTGTCAGTCTGTATTCTTTATATGGCCTGATTTCACTTTCTCTTATTTCCATTACATGTCTGTCTATGTGTGTTTATCTGCCACTCTTGCATATTAACTAATAGAATTACAGGTATTATTATTATTATTATTTTAACAAGTCGGCTATCTCCCACTGAGGCAGGGTGACCCAAAAAGAAAGAAAATCCCCAAAAAGAAAATACTTTCATTATCATTCAACACTTTCACCTCACTCACACATAATCACTGTTTTTGCAGAGGTGCTCAGAACACAACAGTTTAGAAGCATATACGTATAAAGATACACAACATATCCCTCCAAACTGCCAATATCCTGAACTCCTCCTTTAAGAGTGCAGGCATTGTGCTTCCCATTTCCAGGACTCAAGTCCAGCTATATAAAAATAACCGGTTTCCCTGAATCCCTTCACTAAATATTACCCTGCTCACACTCAACAGCTCGCCAGGTCCCAAATACCATTTGTCTCCATTCACTCCTATCGAACATGCTCATGCACGCCTGCTGAAAATCCAAGCCCCTCGACCACAAAACCTCCCTTACCCCTTCATTCCAACCTTTGTGAGGACAACCCCTACCCCGCCTTCCTTTCCCTACAGATTTATACGCTCTCCATGTCATTCTACTTTGATCCATTCTCTCTAAATGACCAAACCACCTCAACAACCCCTCTTTAGCCCTCTGACTAATATTTTTATTAACTCCACACCTTCTCCTAATTTCCACACTCCAAATTTTCTGCATAATATTTACACCACACATTGCCCTTAGACAGGACATCTCCACTGCCTCCAACCGCCTCCTCATTGCTGCATTTATAACCCAAGCTTCACACCCATACAAGAGTGTTGATACTACTATACTTTTATACATTCACTTCTTTGACTCCTCAGATAACGTTTTTTGTCTCCACATATACCTCAACGCACCACTCACCTTTTTTCCCTCATCAATTCTATGATTGACCTCATCCTTCATAAATCCATCCGCTGATACGTCAACTCCCAAATATCTGAAAACATTCACTTCTTCCCTACTCCTCCTCCCCAATTTGATATCCAATTTTTCTTTATCTAAATCATTTGATACCCTCATCACCATACTCTTTTCTATGTTTGCTTTCAACTTTCTACCTTTACACACACACTCAAACTCATCCACTAACCTTCGCAATTTTTCTTTAGAATCTCCCATAAGCACAGTATCATCAGCAAAAAGTAACTGTGTCAATTCCCATTTTGTATTTGATTCCCCATAATTTAATCCCACCCCTCTCCCGAACACCCTAGCATTTACTTCTTTTACAACCTCATCTATAAATATATTAAACAACCATGGAGACATTACACATCCCTGTCTAAGACCTACTTTTACCAGGAAGTAGTCTTATTATTATTATTACTATTATTATATTTAAGGGAGTGTTAAACTTATTTATTTATTTTTATTTTATTTATTTATGTCTTTGCAAATACATAGTACATTGAGATTATGTATTTACAATAATTGGTTGCAATGCAAAGAGAGCCTCTATTATGCCTAGGCATTATGGGCCGACATTATTAGCTTACTGACTACTTAACACTAAGAATTATATCATAGTTGTACAGTAGAATATTAATTATAAGTGAATCTAATTTATATAAGACAAAAGATATATTCATATATTCAAAAATGCTTTTTGTGAAAACAATGATTCAATTATATTCCTGTCGACAATGGATAAAAGGTTCAAAAGTAAGAACCTGGGAATGAGAAGTACTCGGGTTTGATCCAAGGAAGGAGAAGAAAAGTTCAATTCCCTGGATCAAGAGCCCCCTCACCAGCATCAAGGAACTTCCAAAAATCTTGGAGGGATTACCCGGTGTTGCCGAACATCATACTGTAATTTTAATGTTATATGAACAGTGAACCCATAAGATCATACAGTGCCTGGGTAATGAGACAAAATCAGGTTTGATCTGAGAAAGGGGTAAATAGTTCCAATTCCTTGGACCAAAAACCCTTCCTCAGCATCCAGGTACCTTAAAAGAACAGTAGTACATACACATATTAATGCTGGATGCAAAATATCACTACTAGGGAGGGGAGGCAGTAAATAAATTGTGGTGTCTTAGTTTCATACTATGCCAAATATTTTGATGTATGGTTTGTTTTCGAGTCCTTCTAATTCAAGTGATTATTATTATTATAATCAAGGGGAAGCGCTAAACCCGTAGGATTATACAGTGCCTGGGAGGGATGTGGAAGGCATTCAGGCTTAATTCGGGGAACTGGAGCACAGATCCAATTCCCTAAATCAAGAGCCCCTCACCAACATCAAGGAACCTTCCCTGAGGGGAATTCAAATGATGCATCAAATCAAATTTACCCAAGTTATTATTTTTCACAAGAAAATGCTAAATGAATAATTCTCTAGAGAAAATGTTATCTTGATCTCCACACAGAAGCTTCAGGCATATTCTGAGTGATAATGTTTTTACTGTACAACATTCATTTTCTGCCCTTCAAACAACTAACCCAAATCTTAATCCACACCAAGGTGGTCATCATTGTTTACCCTATAAATAATCTTATTTACATATACTTTAATATTAACTGTGTGCCTAGGTAGTAGGATGGTAGACAGCAACCGCCCAGGGAGGTACTACTGTCCTGCCAAGTGAGTGTAAAATGAAAGCCTGTAATTGTTTTACATGATGGTAGGATTGCTGGTGTCTTTTTATTCTGTCTCATACACATGCAAGATTTCAGGTACATCTTGCTACTTACTATTTACACTTAGGTCACACTTCACATACATGTACAAGCATATATACACACACCCCTCTGGGTTTTCTTCTATTTTCTTTCTAGTTCTTGTTCTTGTTTATTTCCTCTTACCTCCATGGGGAAGTGGAACAGAATTCTTCCTCCGTAAGCCATGCGTGTTGTAAGAGGCAACTAAAATGCCAGGAGCAAGGGGCTAGTAACCCTTTCTCCTGTATATATTACTAAATATAAAAGGAGAAACTTTCGTTTTTCCTTTTGGGCCACCCCGCCTCGGTGGGATACGGCCGGTGTGTTGAAAGAAAGAAAGATTAACTGTGTATAAATACATTATTATATTTCTAGAAAAATGCTGAACTCCTATGGGTCACTCAGCATTGTAACAGATCTATGGACAGAAAACTTTGTGGAAAGTAATTTATCATACTACTACCTTATTACATACAGTAGTGCATATAATACAGTGGTATTACTGTATGTAATAATGGTATTACTGTAATACAGTGGTATTACTGTAATACATTAGTATTACTGTAATACATTAGTATTACTGTAATACATTAGTATTACTGTAATACATTAGTATTACTGTAATACATTAGTATTACTGTAATACATTAGTATTACTGTATGTAATACAGTGGTATTACTGTATGTAATACAGTGGTATTACTGTATGTAATAGAGATCAGTAATAATTACATACAATAAAGTAGATTATTTAAATAAAATTAATCAGTGTTACCAGTATATCTATCTCTCTAATTTATTAACAGGATCCACAGCCGAAGTTGAGGAAGTAAGAATCACTGACTGTGACATTCCACCATGCATTCTTGAACGTGGGAAAGACATCATAGTTGATATAGACTTTATCAACGGTGAGTCATGCTTCATTTATTCATGCACTTCATTTTTTTTCAACATGTCAGCTGTCTCCCACCACAGCAGGGTGACCCAAAAAAGAAACACTCACACATAATCACTGTCTTTACAGAAGTATGCAGATATAACAGTTCAGATGTAACTCCAAACAGCCAATATCCCAAACCCCTCCTTTAAAGTGCAGGCACTGTATTTTCCACTGCCAGGACTCAAGTCCAGCTAACCAGTTTCCCTGAATCCCTTGACAAAATATTACCCTGCTCACACTCCAACAGCTTATCAAGTCCCAAAAGCCATTTGTCTCCATTCACTCTTATCTAATATGCTCACACATGCCTACTGTATGTCCAAGCCCCTTGCACACAAAAACCTCTTTCACCCCCTCCCTCCATCTTTTTCCAGGACAACCCTTACCTCTCCTCCACTCCAGTACAGATTTATACACTTTTTAAGTCATCCTATTTTGCTCTATTCTTGTTAAATGACCAAACCACCTCAACAATCCCTCCTCAGCCCTCCGAATACTTTTAGTAACTCCACACCTCCTCCCAATTTCCACACTGTGAGTTCTCTGCTGCAGCATTTACAACCCATGCTTCACACTCATATAAGAATATGTAAATATTATCTACATTACTCTTCCTTAAGTTAGATAATAAATTTGTTGGGTACCTTCTTGCCCATAAAACACATAAGCCATTAAAGACTGAAATCATTTAAAAGAGACATACAGTTCTTAAAAATAAAAATGGCACCTACACTATCTGGTAACAAGCCCAATCTTATTATAAGTAGGATACACCAGTGCTGAAAATTTGAGTCTTTTTCAAGTTATCACATGGAAAGGAAATCTGGGAATGTGCAGAGGGTTCCTATACATGCCAATACTGAAGTTGAAGGAACCTTTTCCTAGTTACTGCACAGTACATCAGTGTTTTTTTTTATTATCACACTGGCCGATTCCCACCAAGGCAGGGTGGCCCGAAAAAGAAAAACTTTCACCATCATTCACTCCATCACTGTCTTGCCAGAAGGGTGCTTTACACTACAGTTTTTAAACTGCAACATTAACACCCCTCCTTCGGAGTGCAGGCACTGTACTTCCCATCTCCAGGACTCAAGTCCGGCCTGCCGGTTTCCCTGAACCCCTTCATAAATGTTACTTTGCTCACACTCCAACAGCACGTCAAGTATTAAAAACCATTTGTCTCCATTCACTCCTATCAAACACGCTCACGCATGCCTGCTGGAAGTCCAAGCCCCTCGCACACAAAACCTCCTTTACCCCCTCCCTCCAACCTTTCCTAGGCCGACCCCTACCCCGCCTTCCTTCCACTACAGACTGATACACTCTTGAAACCATTCTGTTTCGCTCCATTCTCTCTACATGTCCGAACCACCTCAACAACCCTTCCTCAGCCCTCTGGACAACAGTTTTGGTAATCCTGCACCTCCTCCTAACTTCCAAACTATGAATTCTCTGCATTATATTCACACCACACATTGCCCTCAGACATGACATCTCCACTGCCTCCAGCCTTCTCCTAGCTGCAACATTCATCACCCATGCTTCACACCCATATAAGAGCATTGGTAAAACTATACTCTCATACATTCCCCTCTTTGCCTACAAGGACAAAGTTCTTTGTCTCCACAGACTCCTAAGTGCACCACTCACCCTTTTCCCCTCATCAATTCTATGATTCACCTCATCTTTCATAGACCCATCCGCTGACACGTCCACTCCCAAATATCTGAATACATTCACCTCCTCCGTACCCTTTCCCTCCAATCTGATATCCAATCTTTCATCACCTAATCTTTTTGTTATCCTCATAACCTTACTCTTTCCTGTATTCACTTTTAATTTTCTTCTTTTGCATACCCTACCAAATTCATCCACCAATCTCTGCAACTTCTCTTCAGAATCTCCAAAGAGCACAGTGTCATCAGCAAAGAGCAACTGTGACAATTCCCACTTTATGTGTGATTCTTTATCTTTTAACTCCACGCCTTTTGCCAAGACCCTCGCATTTACTTCTCTTACAACCCCATCTATAAATATATTAAACAACCACGGTGACATCACACATCCTTGTCTAAGGCCTACTTTTACTGGGAAATAATTTCCTTCTTTCCTACATACTCTAACTTGAGCCTCACTATCCTCGTAAAAACTCTTCACTGCTTTTAGTAACCTACCTCCTACACCATACACCTGCAACATCTGCCACATTGCCCCCCTATCCACCCTGTCATATGCCTTTTCCAAATCCATAAATGCCACAAAGACCTCTTTAGCCTTATTTAAATACTGTTCACTTATGTGTTTCACTGTAAACACCTGGTCCACACACCCCCTACCTTTCCTAAAGCCTCCTTGTTCATCTGCTATCCTATTTGCCGTCTTACTCTTAATTCTTTCAATAATAACTCTACCATACATCAGTGTTATAAACAAAAACCTTGGAGGAAGAAAAAATTCAGGCAACCACTTAAACCTACTTCTTTGGGGATAAGGTACCTACAAATTACTATGCCTGCACCCTGCCCCAAAATGAAGTGTTAATTTGCTCATATTAAAGTTGGTGAACTAGACAAGCGTCAGTTATAAGACAGTACAGTGGACCCCCGGTTAACGATATTTTTTCACTCCATAAGTATGTTCAGGTGCCAGTACTGACCGAATTTATTCCCATAAGGAATATTGTGAAGTAGATTAGTCCATTTCAGACCCCCAAACATACACGTACAAACGCACTTACATAAATACACTTACATAATTGGTCGCATTTGGAGGTAATCGTTATGCGGGGGTCCACTGTATTATAATTCTTGTTGTGTATTCATTTTTTTTTTTTTTGTGGAGGGGAGAGTGCTAAATTCATAAGGGTCATAAGTGCAATTACTGTATATTCACATCAAAATGCATAACCCATATGGATCATTCAACACTGCCAATCTTAAAGCAAACAAAATTAATATTACTATGGAAGACCCTGGTTGCCTAAAGAAAAAAGGTATAAAAATTATAATTAATATAACCAAGGGAAAGCGCTAAACCTGTGATCAGGTTTAATCCAAGGAAGGGCAGTTCCAGTTCCTTGAATCAAGAGTCCTTCACCAATATTGTCTTACCATCTTAAAAAGAATGTTTTAAAGACTGAAATAATAATTTGTAAACAATAGCTATAAACTTATATGGGCCATTCAGAGCTTAACAAAGTAGGTACAGTGCAATATAATATTTTTCCTTTTGCATACGTGATTTTTTTTTATTTCCCATTATTATCTTATGTTTTTTTTTTTCAACAAGTCGGCCGTCTCCCACCGAGGCAGGGTGACCCAAAAAAGAAAGAAAATCCTCAAAAAGAAAATACTTTCATCATCATTCAACACTTTCACCACACTCACACATTATCACTGTTTTTGCAGAGGTGCTCAGAATACAACAGTTTAGAAGCATACACATATAAAGATACACAACATATCCCTCCAAACTGCCAATATCCCAAACCCCTCCTTTAAAGTCCTCAAATCCGACTATATGAAAATAACCAGTTTCCCTGAATCCCTTCACTAAATATTACCCTGCTCACACTCCAACAGATCGTCAGGTCCCAAGTACCATTCGTCTCCATTCACTCCTGTCTAACACGCTCACGCACGCTTGCTGGAAGTCCATGCCCCTTGCCCACAAAACCTCCTTTACCCCCTCTCTCCAACCCTTTCAAGGACGACCCCTACCCCGCCTTCCTTCCCCTATTGATTTATATGCTTTCCATGTCATTCTACTTTGATCCATTCTCTCTAAATGACCAAACCACCTCAACAACCCCTCTTCTGCCCTCTGACTAATACTTTTATTAACTCCACACCTTTTCCTAATTTCCACACTCCGAATTTTCTGCATAATATTTACACCACACACTGCCCTTAAACAGGACATCTCCACTGCCTCCAACCGTCTCCTCGCTGCTGCATTTACCACCCAAGCTTCACACCCATATAAGAGTGTTGGTACTACTATACTTTCATACATTCCCTTCTTTGCCTCCATAGATAACGTTTTTTGACTCCACATATACCTCAACGCACCACTCACCTTTTTTCCTTCATCAATTCTATGATTAACCTCATCCTTCATAAATCCATCCGCCGACACGTCAACTCCCAAGTATCTGAAAACATTCACTTCTTCCATACTCCTCCTCCCCAATTTGATATCCAATTTTTCTTTATCTAAATCATTTGATACCCTCATCACCTTACTCTTTTCTATGCTCACTTTCAACTTTCTACCTCTACACACATTCCCAAACTCATCCACTAACCTTTGCAATTTTTCTTTAGAATCTCCCATAAGCACAGTATCATCAGCAAAAAGTAACTGTGTCAATTCCCATTTTGAATTTGATTCCCCAAAATTTAATCCCACCCCTCTCCCTAACACCCTAGCATTTACTTCCTTTACAACCTCATCTATAAATATATTAAACAACCATGGTGACATTACACATCTCTGTCTAAGACCTACTTTTACCGGGAAGTAGTCTCCCTCTCTTCTACACACCCTAACCTGAGCCTCACTATCCTCATAAAAACTCTTTACAGCATTTAATAACTTACCACCTATTCCATATACAGTGGACCCCCGCATAACGATTTTAATCCGTGCAAGAGGGGTAATTGTTATGTGAAATAATCGGTATGTGAATGAATTTTCCCCATAAGAAATAATGGAAATCAAATTAATCCGTGCAAGACACCCAAAAGTATGAAAAAAAATTTTTTTACCACATGAAATTTTTTAATTTTAAAATACACACAAACTGAAAAAACATCACACTTACATGACACTTCTTTTATTGAAGACTGGTGATGTTGATGGGGTGGGAGGGGGGAGAGAAGTGGTTTTGTGTTTAGAAGGGGAAACCCCTTCCTTAAGACTTGAGGTGGCAAATCCCTTTTTGGGGTTTCTTTCCCCCTTTTTCTTTTATGCCACTAGCCGTTCAAGTCATGGACTTTTTTTCGCACAAACTATTTTCCATAGTGGCCTGTACCCCTCGTTTCCTTTATGCTTCCCTAAAGTGTTTCACAACTTGTCATGTAATAATCACCCGACGGCTTGCAATAGCTGTGTGGGGGTGATTTTATCCCTGAAAGGGTTTTCACTTCAAGCCCCTTTGCACAATTTCCTAATCTTTGAGTAGGCAAATGCTTCAATTTTTCTTCCCCTCCTCTGAACCGTTTTCAGGTCTGGCCTTTGCTGGGGAAGTTGATCTATCAGCTCACAGTGGTTAGTTCTTATTGTCCCCCTCCACCAAATCTTCCCCATCCCCCCCCACTAACTCCAAACCCCAAGGACTTTTCCCCAAGCCACAAAAGGGTTCCCAAATGGCATAATCCCTCAGGGTTAGCCCAAACCCCCTTTAAAATCCCTTTGTCTACACTTCTGGCCCGTTTCTTCCAAGCAGATTCGGTCTTCTGTCACTCCCCCCCAAGCCTTTACCCTATAAGGTTTACAAATTGAGGTATTAAAAAGTGCTCTTTTCCAAAAAACTCTCTTAGAGTCATTTGAGTTTTGAGGTCACTACAAAGCACCTTTAAAAACGAGCTTTGTGTACAGTTTTTTGAATTTTTGCAATAACCTGCGGCCCAGGGGCGGCAGGAGAGGAGTGGTATTAGGAGGCAAAAACTTCACCTTAATGAAGCCATGCCCCCAAAAAGTCGCTCGCCACGTTTGGGATGACCAGGGGCATTGTCAAAACCCAGGGGGCACTTAAAGTTCAAATTTTTTCTTTCTTTTAGGTAATCTTTCACAGGGGGGGAAAATGCATGGTGTAACCGTTTTAAAAAAGTCCCTAGGACCCTGCCTTACGTTTGCCCCCCACAGCACACACAAATTTCCTTGAGGACTTCTTTTCCCTGACGCTCGGGAGTTTCAGAGTGTACACTAAAAAAGGCAAAAATTTGCAATAAACCACTGTTGGCACACATCAAAAAAGTAACCCTGTCTTTCATGGGCTTATGCCCGGGAGTGCCTTTTCCTCCTGGAAAAGTAGGCCCCTGTTTGGGCATTTTCTTCCAGAACGGGGCCTTTTCATCACAATTAAAACTTGTTCAGGTTTCAGCCCTTCACTGTTTATGTACTCCTTAAATTTCCCTGCACTATTTTTCAGCGCTTTTGGTCCGAACTGGACCTCACCATGCCTTATCAATAGGATGCCACTACGCTTCTTAAATCTCTCAAAAACCAACCTTGCGGCCTTAAATTCACTAAAATCACACTAGTCAGGCTTTTTTTTAATTAAACCCTATGAACTTCCTACCCTTTTCACATTGACGCTTGAGAGCGATTCCTGCTAGCGTTTTTCATTTATCACCCCCAATAAGAGTCTCTCAACATTTTCCCATCATTGGATCTTTGTTTCAAAAACACATTAAAACCCTTGGCAAAAACAGCTTCCTTGATTGCTTTTGGTCCCCAAATAGTAGCGAGGGTTTGATTGGGGTTTCTTGTAAAAATTGCTAGGCGGCGATCGCACTCCACTTTATATTATCAATGTCTTTTCTTTTTTTTTTGGTTTTTCCCCCCTTATTGGTGTACGGTTGGCTAAAGCTTTTTTGGGGGCCCCATGGTCACTTTTTTTCCCAAAAAAACAGCCCCCGAAAACACTGTAATAAACGAAATTTTCCCCGAGTGTAGCTTGGATGTTACCGCGGAGGCTGGCTGGGAAACATGGCACGGGCGGGCCCTGTGAGGCTGGTGAGGGCCAATTGGACGCGTTCGGACGAAAATCGGGTGAGGGGTTTTTTAAAAACGGGATGGCCCGGCAAAATTTTTGCGATTAAAGCAAGCGGATGCGGATTAATCGCTATGTGATGCCCTCGTTTTGCGGGGGTCCACTGTTTTTAACATCTGCGACATTGTCCTCTATCCCCCTCTATCAATGCCTTTTCTAAATCCATAAATGCAATAAAAATTTCCCTCCCCCTTTTCTAAATACTGTTCACATATACTTCAATGTAAACACTTTATCTACACATTTCCCCTACCCCTCTGAAACCCTTGCTCATCCGCAATCCTAAATTTGTTTACCTCTAATTCTTTCAATTATTTCCCTACCGTCACTTTTTTTCCTGGTTTTCAGTAACCTTATTCCTCAAATTTTTACAGTTCTTTTGTCCCTTTTCCCTTTATATAAAGGGACTATACTGCTCTCCGCCAATCCTAGGTACCTTCCCCCCTTTCTACATTTATTAAACAAAGTACCAACCCCCCCCAAACCCCCCCCCCCCCCCCTGCTTTTAACATTTCTGTCATGATCCCATCAGTTCCAGCGCTTTACCCCCCTTTTATTCTACGTAAATGCCTCAGTACCTCCCCCCCCCTTCATTCTGCTCTTTTTCACCCTAAAGATGGGATACCTCCCTACCCCGTGCATTAAATTACTGCCTCTTTTCTTCCTTTAAAATTTAAAAAATTTCCCCAAAATTTCTTACCATTTCCTAAAACCTCCATTTCCCCATCTACTAACTCCCCTACTCGTTTTTAACTGACAAATCCATACTTTCCCTAGGCCCCCTTTTTAATTGTTTAAATCACTCCCAAATTTTTTCTTATTTTTTATTAAAATTTCTTGCAGTTTCCTCTCCCACTCTATCATCTCCTCCCCTTTTTCACTCTTTCCCCCACCCCTTTTTCCCCTTTTTTTTACTTCCAAAAACTTGCTCTTTATAACACTTTGTTTTTTAAAAACCCTTCTTAAACTACCCTTTTTTTCTTTTATCACAGCCTTTACTTCTCATTCCACCAATACTCCTCTTTCCCCCTGCCCCCCCCCTCCTATAACCACAAACTTCTGCCCCACATTCTAATACTGCATTTTTAAAACTATTCCAACCCTCTTCAACCCCCCCACTACTCATCTTTGCACTAGCCCACCTTTCTGCCAATAGTCGCTTATATCTCACCCGAACTTCCTCCTCCCTTAGTTTTATACACTTTCACCTCCCTCTTACTTGTTGTTGCCACCTTCCTCTTTTCCCATCTACCTCTTACTCTAACTGTAGCTACAACTAAATAATGATCCGATATATCAGTTGCCCCTCTATAAACATGTACATCCTGGAGCCTACCCATCAACCTTTTATCCACCAATACATAATCTAATAAACTACTTTCATTACATGCTACATCATACCTTGTATATTTATTTATCCTCTTTTTCATAAAATATGTATTACTTATTACCAAATCTCTTTCTACACATAGCTCAATTAAAGGCTCCCCATTTACATTTACCCCTGGCACCCCAAATTTACCTACTACTACCTCCATAACATTTTTACCCACTTTAGCATTGAAATCCCCAACCACCATTACTCTCACACTTGATTCAAAACTCCCCACACATTCACTCAACATTTCCCAAAATCTCTCTCTCTCCTCTACACTTCTCTCTTCTCCAGGTGCATACACGCTTATTATAACCCACTTTTCACATCCAGTCTTTATTTTACTCCACATAATCCTTGAATTAATACATTTATAGTCCCTCTTTTCCTGCCATAGCTTATCCTTCAACATTATTGCTACTCCTTCTTTAGCTCTAACTCTATTTGAAACCCCTGACCTAATCCCATTTATTCCTCTCCATTGAAACTCTCCCACCCCCTTCAGCTTTGTTTCACTTAAAGCCAGGACATCCAGCTTCTTCTCATTCATAACATCCACAATCATCTTTTTCTTATCATTTGCACAACATCCACGCACATTCAGACTTCCCACTTTGACAATTTTCTTCTTCTTATTCTTTTTAGTAATCTTTACAGGAAAAGGGGTTACTAGCCCATTGTTCCCAGCATTATAGTTGACTTTTACAACACGCATGGCTTTCGGAGGAAAGATTCTTATTCCACTTCCCCATGGATATAAAAGGAAAAGTAATAAGACCAAGAACTATTAAGATAAAATCAAAGAAAACTCAGATGAGTGTGTATAAATAAATGTGTACATGTATGTGTAGTGTGACCTAAGTGTATAGTATATGTATGTATATGTATAGTATATAAATTACATTATATTTATAAATATTGTAATTATTATAGTATTCACAATCTCACATATATACACCAGTATATCTTAAGGAGATGTTTTATCCACCAGGTGCTTATCAATTCAGTATCACTGGATTGATAAAACTCTTGGTGCATGAAACATCTTAATAAATATCCTAATACCATATATGTGTCTTTTATATGCACTGTCTTTGTTACTTACTATGTATAAATACCAACTCTGAATGTCCTAGTATTGCATGTCTTTCTTGCATACCTGTCAGTGTTAATCACTATTTGTAACCTCAACAAGGATAGTGCAACAAAATAATTCTCTTTCTTTCCAACACAGCCAAAGCCTCCACTACATTGACAACTAAAGTCTTTGGAACAATATCTGGTGTTGACATTCCATGGACTGGTGTTGTACCTGATGCCTGTACCACACTTGTAGCTGGTGACTGCCCTCTTGAAGTTGATGAAAATGTTTCATACTCTGCAGTTGCGCCAGTCCTGAACAATTATCCAACTGTAAGTGACTTCTTTGTTACCAGTTAAAACTAAAAAGAAAATTATGCTGAAATAAACAAAGGAGACTTCTTAGAGAAATAAAAAATCCAAGGAAACAGATTAAATACTTTAAAACTTACCTTTATAACTGTAGTGTAAATGCGCCTCTGGCAAGACAGTGATGGAGTGAATGATGATAAAAGTTTTTCTTTTTCAGGCCACCCTGCCTTGGTGGGAGATGGCCGATAGGTTAATAATAATAATAGTATAATGTACAATTTATCAATTGTGTATGAATCATTTATAAAGCAACCACTATTGTCTCCATCTGATGCACTGTGTCATTCACTATGACTAGTTAACTTATCAGGACTCAGGATACATTGAAATAACATATGGTAGTAGAAAGACATAGAAAAGAATCTTAATAAAGTCCCTAGTGGGGACTATTTGCAAAAGTATCATTTGTTGCCTTACCTGTGCAAGTGACCATGTAAAAGTTAACACAATGAATGAAATCAATTTTATTTATTCATTTCATACCAGGTATCCTTGTTAATATGATTGGATAAGTAGAATGTATAAATGTACAGGGTTAGAATACTATGAAGAATGTTCACAATTATATTATTGCAATCATGGAGAAGTACTAAACCCATAGGCCTCATATAGTGCCCAGGAATGTGAGGTAATCAAGTGTGATCTGCAGAAGGGAAAGGTTTCTCCAGTTCTATGGATTAGGGGTCCTTCACAGTATCAAGGCACCCCCTGGGAAAGGAATACTCATATGGCACATAATGAACAGAAAGAGAGAGAAATTATATCTCTGAGTTACAATACAACCCAAGATTCATAGATCTGAAAAATGAGAGAAAGACAGGTAAGAAACAATGGAAAAGAATGGCAAGGATAAGACAGTTAATAAACGTTTATGGGATGGATATCATTATAATCAAATAAAGCGCTAAACCAACAAGGGTCATACAGTATGGGATGGCTAAAGTTGATGAAAGCAATAAATTATTTCTGTGGAGTAAGGTATGTTTGAGCTTAGTGAAAAAATATAAATAAGTAGAATTTCATTTGGAACAGTATTATATACAAATCTAATTCTATTCTCTTATTAGGTAAGTGTCATTGTGAGATGGGATTGGAGGATGATGATGGTGAAACTACTGTCTGCTTTATGGTGCCAGCACAACTTGTGTAATATGTACCATGTTATGGTATAATAATGTATTCATTAAAAAATAATAAAAATAAGCAAGCTGAACAATAAAATATACTTCATAAGTGGCTTTATATTCAATACTGTAAATTTTGTTGGCAAGAGGTTTGGGGTTAAAAGATAAAGAATCTAACACAGAGTGTTAGATTCTTTATCTAATGACACTGTGCTTTTGGGAGATTCTGAAGAGAAGTTGCAGAGGTTGGTGGGTGAGTTTGGTAGGGTATGTAAATGAAAATTGAAAGTAAATATAGGAAAGAGCAAGGTGATGAGGATAACAAAATAATTAGGTAATGAACGATTGGATATCAGGTTGGAGGGAGAGAGTATGGAGGTGAATGTATTTATAGAATTGACAAGGGGAAAAAGATGAGGGGTGTACTGAGGAGTCTGTGGAGACAAAGAACTTTATCCATGGAAGCAAAGAGGGGAATGTATGAGAGTATAGTTATACCAACGCTCTTATAAGGCCGGGAAGCATAGGTGGTGAATGTTGCAACAAGGAGAAGGGTGGAGGCAGTGGAGATGTCGTGTCTGAGGGCAATGTGTGGTGTGAGCAGCATAATGCAGAGAATTCGTAGTTAGGAAATTAGGAGGTTCGGGATTACCAAAATTATTATCCAGAGGGCTGAGGAGGGGTTGTTGAGGTGGTTTGGACATGTAGAGAAGATGGCACAAAATAGAATGACTTTGAGTGTATAAATCTGTAGCGGAGGGAAGGCAGGGTAGAGGTTGGCCTAGGAGAGGTTGGAGGGAGGGGGTAAAGGAGGTTTTGTGTGCAAGGGGCTTAGACTTCCAGCAAGTAGGCATGAGCGTGTTAGATAGGAGTGAATGGAGACAAATGGTTTTTAGAACTTGAGGTTCTGTTGGAGTGTGAGCAAAGTATTACAGTGGTCCCTCGTTTTTCATAATAAATCTGTTCCAGAGAGTGTGATTATTATCGAAATTGACGATTTGCGAAACCATTTTCCCCATAAAAAAATAATGTAAGTACAATTAATCCGTTCCAGACACCCAGAAGTATTAAAACAAAACTTTTTTACATGAAATATAGATGTACATACACAGAAAACAATGAGACATGAAAAGCGAAACATTAACAGCATAACACTTAACTATATTGGCGATTCTTCTTAGTGTATGGAAGACTGGAGGAGGGGGGAGGTTGGATTAATTACTGTTTGGAAGGAGAATCCCTTTCCATCAAGACTTCAGGTACCAAGTCCTTTTCTGGGGTTACTTCCCTTTTTTGTTTTTTAATGCCACTAGGACCAGCTTGAGAGTCACTGTACACCTGTGGCACTAAATACTTGTCCAGAGAGCTCTGTTTCTGGCATCTCTTTAAAATTTCCCTAAAATGGGACAAGACTTTGTCATTGTACATGCTGCCAACACAGCTTGCAACAGCTTTGTCAGGGTGATGTTTTTCCACAAATCTTTCCATCCTACTCCACACTGCACAAATCTCCTTAATTTCTGAAGAAGGCACCTTTGTCCATCTCTCTCCCTCCTCTGAAACAACATGCTGAGCTGTGGTCTGTTGCTATTCCAGCTGAAGCTCTTGAAGCTCTTCAGTGGTTAGCTCTTTGTTGTGGTCCTCCACCAACTCTTCCACATCCTCGCCACTCACATCCAACCCCACGGAACTCCCCAATGCCACAATAGATTCCACAACTGGCAAAAGGTCCTCAGGGTCAGCCCCAAACCCTTCAAAATTCCCGTTCTGGACACAATCTGGCCACAAATTTCTCCAAGCAGAGTACAAAGTCCTGGAAGTCACTCCCTCCCAAGCCTTACCTATAAGGATTATGCAGTGGAGGATACTGAAGTGATCTTTCCAAAACTCTCTTAGGGTCAATTGAGTGTCTGAGGTCACGTTAAAGCACCTTTGAAACATTGCTTTGGTGTAGAATTTTTTAAAGTTTGAAATGATCTACTGGTCCATGGGCTGGAGGAGAGGAGTGGTATTATGGGGCAAAAACTTCACTGTGATGAAACTAAACTCCTCCACAATTAGGTCATCCAAGTTTGGAGGATGAGCAAGTGCATTGTCCATGAGCAGGAGGCACTTGAGTTCTAATTTATTTTCCAAGAGGTATTTCTTCACACTGGGGACCAAACACTTCATTGAACCACTTGAGGAAAATGTCCCTCGTGACCCATGCCTTATTTTTAGCTTTCCAAAACACACACAATTTACTCTTCATGACATTGTTTTTCTTGAGCACTCTGGGATTTTCAGAGTGATACACTATTAAAGGCTTCACATTGCAATCCCCACTAGCATTACTACAAAACATGAGAGTTAGCCTGTCTTTCATAGGCTTGTGTCCTGGGAGTGCCTTTTCCTCCTGAGTAATGTAGGTCCTCTTTCGTATTTTCTTCCAGAAGAGGCCTGCTTCGTAACAATTGAACACTTGTTGGGGGATGAATCCTTCAGCCTCTACATAGTCCTTGAATTCACTTACGAATTTTTTAGCTGCATTTTTGTCAGAACTGGCAGCCTCACCATGCCTTATCACACTGTGTATGCCACTACATTTTTTTATATCTCTTTAACCAGTCTTTGCTGGCCTTAAAATCACAAATATCAGTATTCATTACAGGCAATTTCTTAACGAGATTGTCATGCAACTGCCTTGCCTTTTCACAAATAATCGACTGCATAAGACTATCTCCTGCTAATTGTTTCTCGGTGATCCACACCAACAATAACTTCTCAATATCTTCGAGTACTTGCAATCTCGTTTTTTGTGAGCATATTTACCCTTCTTATACATCCTGCCCAGTTCTGCCATGCATACGCCACTTTCATATTGTTCAATGATGTTTTTCTTGAATTCTATCATATTTCTCACCTGCTTTACCAAAGGTATGGCACTAGGAGCTTTCTTTGCAAGCACTAAAACGAATGGAATACATTTTGAAAACAAGTGCCAAACCCATATGGGTCATGAACATACGGTTAGCAAAGCAAATCATACATTAAATCTTCATTGTCAGATACGTAATTATTATACAGTGGAACCCCGGTTTTCGTCTTTAATCCATTCCAGAAGGTTGGCCGGAAACCAGTTTGTACAAAAACTGAAGTAATATTTCCCATAAGAAATAAAGTAAATCCAACCCATTCCAAACATCCAAAAATATTAACAAAAAACACATTTTATAGAGAATAACTATAGTTTTACATGCAGAAAACAATGAGAAATCAATATAAATGACTAATGAAATGGATAAATGAACATTTAACATCACTTTTACCTTTACTGAAGACTCTTGTTGGCATATGGAAGACGGCGAGGAGGGGACAGGGAGGAGACGTTATTGTTTAGAATGGGAATCCCCCTCCATATGGACTTCAGGTATCAAAGCCCTATCTGGGGTTACTTCCCTTCTTTGTCTTTTATTGGCACTAGGACCAGCTTGAGAGTCACTGGACCCCTATCACAAAAAAGTCTGTCCAGAGAGGCCTGTTTCTGGCATCTCTAAGATTTGCCTAAAATGGGACACAGCATTGTCACTGACATGTTGCTGACACAGCTTGCAACAACTTTGTTAGGGTGATATTTTTCCACAAAACTTTGCACAAATGTCCTTAACCCTTTGACTGTCGCAACCCCCAATCCTGAGGTGTCTCCTGGTGTCGCAAAATTTAAAAAAAAAAAATTTTTTTTTCTTATGAAATGATAAAGAATCTTTTCCCGATTGTAATGACACCAAAAAAACGAAATTTGATGGAAAACTGACGGAATTATGCTCTCGCGAAGTTAGCGACCTCGGCGCTGTTTACAAATCGGCGATTTCACCCACTTTGAGCCCTATTTTTGGCTAATTCCATTGTTCCAGTCGCCCAAACTCATAGCTATTTCTTTAGAACTCCATTTTTTCTATCGATTGAGTACAAGAAACTGCCCATTTACCGATTTCAACTACCTAATAATGTGGTCAGAAATTTGCAATTTGGCCAAATTCACGAAAACTAAAAAATATGACAATTTCAAAATAAGGTCCAGAATAAACAATGCAGACATTCCTGGCTCTAAAATAACATTTTCTTTGCTCATCAATCATGTCTCCAGGCCCCTCTGATATTACGCTTGCTTTCTATTTTGAATTTTTATTCAAACAAAAAATAGAAGACTTACTATTATGCAGACTACTGCAATACTGTAATAATTGTATAAATAACATCAACCCATTCATGACTGCATATTAGAATGGCTAGTTGGACATTTATTGGACAATGGCATCATTTGTTTACTTTTGAACATTGGCAAAAATCAAACATTTCCCCTACTTTGAGCTCCATTTCTAGGTTCTTTTTAAAGTAAAATCAATCAAAGTCACCTCTATTTCTATAATATGTTTTCCATTCTATCAAATGAGACCAAGAAAATGAGAATACAACCATAAATACTATACGAAAATAGACCACAAAGTCGGCATTTTAATTTAAAAAAAAACGGTTGGAGTTTTTTTTTCTCATTATGCACTGCGTGCTCCAGGATTTTTTTTATATGGTGCACACTGACCACACAGACCCATTCTCTCACATGTGGGCCTACCAGCTTTCTCCTGCTTGATTTGAAGCCGCTAGAATTTATGAGTATATATACGTCAAACACGGTACCTCGTAAGACGTGTATATACGGCCGCGACAGTCAAAGGGTTAATTGCTGAAGAAGGCACATTCTCCATCTCTCTTCCTCCTCCTCTGAGGCAATTTCCTCAGCAAAGGTCTGTTGCTGTTCCAGATGAAGGTCTTGCAGCTCTTCAGTGGTTAGCTCTTCCCTGTGGTCGTCCACCAACTCTTCCACATCCTGGCCACTCACCTCCAACCCCTAGGACTTCCCCAAAGACACAATAGATTCCACAACAGGCATAGGGTCATCCAGGTCATCCTCAAACCCTTCAAAATCCTTCTGGAGGACACATTCTGGCCACAATTTTTTCCAAGAAGAGTTAATTGTCCTGGAAGTCACTCTCTGTCAAGCCTTATCTATAAGGCATTTGAGGATACTGAAGTCATTCCTCCAGAACTCTCTTAGGGTCAATTCAGTGT